GACTGGAATGTTTAATGTGTCCCGCGCTCTCATATGACCTTATGCAGTTGCAAACACGGATAAAACACTTACCTAAAAAACCCACAAACAAAACAACAACAACAAAGAACTGTTCACGAGTCCTACCTATAAGCCCAAGACAGTCTTGGGCCTGCCAGTGAACGGGTTAAAAATATAAAATATTATTAGTGATTTGTTCTACACACCTTACCCCATTTTGTCATCAAGTACCGTGAGGTTTTGATTTAGTCAAGTAAACAAAGTTTCCGATCCATTCTTTTATTTGCTCTTTGTGTTAGCTTCTTCAAATCTTCCTTCTAAATTGCCCCTCACTTCCCGTCAATGTTTCTGGTGGCGCGGTACCACTGGCAAGTTTTACTTCTTCTCTTTCTCTTTTGTTTTCATTTTGACTGCCTGTTTGCTCTTTCCCAGCACTATTGAAACATAATCATGTCGATGTGCTTTCCTTTACTCTAACAAAACTTCCAGTGATGTTTGGTAAGGGAGGAAGGGAGCTGCCTTCTATTGTTCCTCTGGCTGCCACGCACAGTGCTTGGTAGCCACATAAACTAAACCAGGGACTGATGCTTCTTCGTTTCCCAAAGTACGTGACGTCATGGCTTGACTCTGCCTTGTTCTAGCCTTTGAAAACCATGGTATCAATTCTTGTCTTTCACTTCGACCGAACCAAAGAGTCTACATAACAGGAGGGGCCACTTCTCTCTTTGAACCAATTAAAAAACTGTCCTCAAAATTCGGTGCGCCCTCTTCGCAAAAGCGCACCCTTTGGGAACAGAGTTACCCTACTTGAGTTTTAAAAAATCAAAGTGAAACTAGCAAGTTTTTAAATAAATTTCAGAAGAATGCATTTTTAAAATGGTTACGCTGACATAAAACCTCTTCCGGAGGAAAGGATGATTGTTTTCTTCGTTTAATTTGACTTGAGAATGAAAGGCGAGAGGTCATTAAAAAAAATTTTTAAACTAAAACTCCACACTGAACGAACCCGAACTGCTGATAAACAGCAGTCGATCTGCCCACGCAAGGAGGTGCTATTCCTATTCTTCTTTTCGAAAAACGAAAGAGAGCTTCAAAACAGACTGCAGCGCCATCTGAAGCAAAGAGCGAACTTCCTGCGGACACTTTTTTGGCTGAGTGGCCCATCTTGTTATGTACTATCTTTGTCCGAACTTAATGAACATACTCGGTTTGCTCGGAGTCCGGTTTGCTGAAGTGAAAAGGAAATATATAAATGAGAAAAGGACCAGTACAGTACAAACAATTAGAAACAGCAGCGACTGCAAAAGAAGTAAGACCTACCACTACCAATGGCGCCCTCCAAGTACCTGCTGAA